GTGGGATGGGCTCTCAAAGTCCCTTCTTGCACCAGGGAAAAATACTAATCCACCACCAGAGGCTCCCTGGAGTGCAGAGGCCTCCTTATTGACATCCATGTTCAGGGGTCTGGATCAGTCTTGTACTGGCCTTCCCGACAGCATCTGGGGTCGATGTGCTCTCCCTTGTTCAGGCCAACTGTTCCTGTGGCTTTCTACAACCTGGTACAGACCCCGCCACTCTTCATTTCTCCCTCTCTTCAACTAAATTCCCGATTTCAGCTCAGTGTATATCTGTGGATGTCTGTCTCTGCTTCCATCAGCCACTGGATGAGGGCTCTAGTTCCTGGGTTGATCGGCGGAAAGGGATGGAAGAGTGGGGTGCTACCCTTGTAAGGTATTCTTTCTATTACAGTAACAAGAAAACTAACTGATGTGACCCCCCATCCAGGGCACAAAATTCTCCTGCCAGGCCCCGCCTAAAGGTTTCACTGCCTCCTAAGAGTACCACCACCATAGGGTCCAAATCATTAATCTGTGGGCCTTTAGGGTACATGGAAGATCCAAATCATAAAGCTGCTGAATGAAAAAAAGAAATGGGAAGGGAAGGGAAGGGAAGGACATGACTGCTCCTAGGTTGTGAGGAGGAGAAAGTTTATTATAGATATGTGAGAGAGCACAGCCAGAGGCAGGGACATCCAGAGTGGACATGACCAGACTGAGCTGGGCCATGTGGAGAGGTGGGGGGTAGGGGAAGAGGGGAGAGAGGAAACTAGGTGCAGCAGGCAGGAGGTCAAAGGTATAAAAGGGGTGGGTAACTAAAATGTCTGAATTATATAGGGAAGAGCCTCTGAGGGAAGGGTAGCCCAGGCACTGGGCTTTCGAGTTCAGGGTAGAGGGCAGGAATGCCAGCCATAACCTGTAAGAGGGAGGGAGGGACCGAGGGATGCTGGGAGAACCCGGAGGCCAGATCCACCTATCTCTGTCTGCCTTCGAAGTGCTGGCTGTATACACCACCACAGCCAGCTCTCTGCCTTTTTTTTTTTTTTTTTTTTTAATTGATACATGGTCTCTCAGTGAATCTGGAGCACACAAATTCAGCTAGATAGGCTGTGAGCCTTGGGGACCCTCCTGTCTCTGCACCCGGAGCACTGAGATTACTGATGTGCTGTCATGCCAAGCTTTTTTTTTAAATCACATATATTTACTTACTTATTTACTGTGTGTGTGTGTGTGTGTGTGTGTGTGTGTGATTGGCCAGGGTGTGACACAGCATGCTTGCAGAGGTCAGAAAACAACTCGGTGGGCCTAAGGATGGAACTCAGGTTGTTGGGGTAGCACCCAACTTTTCATGTAGATGCTGGGGATTCCAACAGACCCTTTTGGTTGTGTGACAGGCAGGGTTCTGACTGAGCCGTCTCCCTAGCCCCATGCTTTTACTTTAAAATGACACAATGACCTTTGCTCAGAAATCATTTCCTGAGACAATGTGGTAAGATGCTGCCAGCCATTAGCATTCACCAGCAGCCTGGTTGGTGGTTCCCATACCTGTGTTCTTGGACCTCCAGGACCCCCTCCCTCACCTAGATGGAAGAGGTGGAAGGTGACATATTGCTAGGCCTTAGGCAGCTGCACTTGGAGCTGCTGAGCCATCAAGGGACAGGGTGGTGCTTGTCCTGGATGTGGGTCAAAGGGCATGGCACCTTCTAATTTACATGTTATCTTGGTGAGTTGCTGCCAGTCTGGGGTTGTCTCTGCACCATCTCCCATCTCTGCACTTGGAGCTGCTGAGCCATCAAGGGACAGGGTGGTGCTTGTCCTGGATGTGGGTCAAAGGGCATGGCACCTTCTAATTTACATGTTATCTTGGTGAGTTGCTGCCAGTCTGGGGTGTGGATACACTGGAGGAAAAGACACAGCTTCTGCTGTTATAAGCTCAATCCCCAGAGCCACATACAAAGGAGAGTTGAAGTCCTGTGGCATCTGGGACAGCTCTTGTCAGTCCTGTGGCTACCATGAACCTTGCTACTGTCACAGTACAGCATACACAGGGAGTGCTTTGAGAGTCAGGCTCAAGTGGGTGCCTATAGACACAAGCTAGAGTCTTTCCCACTACTCTGGTTCAGTAGCCTTGCCTGACATGACCTTCCTGAGTGACCTGGGACCTCACAGACAGCCAAGTTTTACTGGAGATGGTGTTCAACTTGTTCATGAGGGTCACTTCTGGCTCGCTGGTAGAATGGAATTGGTGATTTTTTTTTTTAAATTCAATTTAATTGTTTTTGAGATAGGTTGCTATGTAGACCAGGCTGGTCTGGAACACACAGCCCCATCTGCTTCTGCTTCCCGAGGACTAGTATTAAAGCCACTATGCCTGGCTCTATTTATTTTTGAGACAGGGTTTCCTGTAGCCACAAAGTCAAAGCTGGCCTTTAACTTCTAATATTTTTGCTTCCACTTTCTAAGTATTAGGATTATAGGCTTGTTTTAAAATTGCATTTATTGAGGCTGGAGAGATAGCTTAGCAGTTAAGAGTATTTGCTACGCTCCAGGTGGCAAAGGCACTCACCTTTAATCCCAACTCGGGAGGTGGAGGCAGGAAGATCCCTGTGAGTTCAAGGCCAGCCTGGGCTACAAAATGAATTCCAGACAGTCAGGGCTACACAAGAGAAAAATCTGTCTTGAAAAATAGGGGAGAGGGGTGTTTATTGTTCTTGTGGAGGACCAGGGGCTGGTTTCCAGCACACACAGGACAACTCACAACTTCTATAACTCCAGGTCCAAGGACCCAGTAACTCCTCTGATCTCCTTCACACAGGTGGTACATATAAACTCACATGTATACATAAATAAATAAAACTTTTAAATCACATTTAACTTTGGAGCTCAGAGGACAATTTGCCAGAATCAGTGTCTGAGAGATTGAATTCAGGTTAGCAGGCTTGGTGGCAAGCCACTACCTACTGAGCCATCCCACCAGTCTGCAAGGGGTTGTCTTAAAAAATGGACAAACAAGCTGGTGAGATGGGGCCTTGTCATGTGTACTCAGACACTTCCATTCAATCTTGGACACAGATGCACTAGTAATAAAATTTAAGACCACAAACAAACAACAAACAGCGCTGGAGATGTAGCTCAGTTGGTAGAGCGCTTGCCTAGTATACATGAAGCTCTGCGTTCCATCCCAGCACTGCAACAATATTGTGTTCTTGTGCACGCACACCAGTGATCCCAGTGATCCCAGTGATCCCAGTGGAGGCAGGCGCTGCCCCCTGCTGCATACAGAAGAAGCTGCAAGGGAACCTGGCCAGAGCCTGCAGGGCAACTCCCTCCTACCCAATCCAAAAGCCCCACCCTGGGAGTGGTGGTGCACACATGTAATCCCAGCACTGAGAAGACTGGGACAGAGGATTGCTTCAAGTTCAGGGTCAGCCTGGGCTACATAGTGATTCTGTGTTTCAAAAACTGAAAATCTGAGGGTGATTCCTTAGGGCAGCTGGGGAAAATGAGGTTGTTGTCACTGGGAGACTGGCAGTTCCTATGGATGGCCTGTGGCTTCTCCCTGACTCCAGGCTTCTGGCTGTGGTCCTTAGAACCTGAGTGATCTTCCTGGTGGTCCTTCCCAAGGTGGGTCTGACTCACAGGGTCACGGTCCTGGAGTCCCAAACTCTTCCCAGGATCAGAGCTCCCTTCTGCCCCGCCCTCTGCCCTCTGCCCTGTCTCCAGTAGACACTGTGCCCTCCTCCATCCTGGGGCTGCTGGAACACTGACCACCCTGTATTGTGACCTCTGCCTGATGGAGCCATGGAAGCAAAAGGACAGCAGCTGACACTCAGCGCAGATCACTTAGGCAGTTGCAGCTTTCCACTCTGGAGCAACTTCCTTCCTTTCGAGACAGGGTTGCGTAGCTCAGGCTGGCCCAGGACTTACTATGCAGCTGAGGATGACCTTGAAATTGTGATCCCCCTGCCTCAGCCTGAGAGTGAAGGATGGAACCCAGGGCTTTCTGCATGCTAGGGAAGTGCTCTGCCACCTGAGTCACATGCCCACTCCCAGCAGCTGTTCTGGTCACCCACTCCTGGTCTTGCCCTGCCCCTTCCAGGTATCAGTGTCCCTTCTGCTAAGAACACCATTCCCATCTGTCCAAGCAGCCAGCTTCGCCAGGGTTGGAGTGAGATCTGGTCAGTCATTGTCTCCAGGCTTGTTGATCTGGCTCAGGGTGATGGATGTTCAGACATGGCTGATGTCCACTAATAATCAGGCATGAATTGGCTCAGTCTCCTATAAAATACTTTGTTTTTATTATCAAACTGGGTCTTGCTGTGTAGCCCAACCTGGCCTGGAACTTGTGATTCCCTGCCTCAGTGTCCTGAGTGCAGACCCGAGCTTATTTTTATCCTTCTTAGATATCTGTGGTCACAGCAAACGAGGCACAATCTCAATGGTGTTAATCCGGAGGACGGTCTGTGGGTTCACGATGACTGAAAAAGAGAACCTTGTCACAGGCTGGGCCTCATCTCCTTCATAGGCAGCTGGGGACCAGCTCACCCCAACAGTGCATTCTGCCTGGCCCCTGGCCATGTCTTTTGCCCCCACTCTATTTACTTGATGTGTACTGACAACCTCACTCACGTCATGGGCTCCACCTACAGTTGCAGATGCTGGAAACCCAGCAGCCTATGGTCAAGGGTCTGTTCCCATAGCCACACTGACCTTAAGGCTTCAAGGGTAGGATGGACCTACTCACTTTGAGAAACAGGGATGGGCGAGGCTCTCTCTTACCTCCTGGTGCTCCTGACTGGGGTGAGTATATGAGACTACATCCCACTGCCTAGGAACACTTCACAACCGCCACTGCTACTGTTTTTTGGGGGAGGAGGGGTGCAGGGAGGGAGCTGATCAAAAACATTTTTTATTTCATTTAGTGTGTGTGTGTGTGTGTGTGTGTGTGTGTGTGTGTGTGTAGGTCAGATGTCAACTTGGGTGAAATCAGTTCCCTCCTTCTACCATGGGTTCTAGGGTTGGCAAGTGTCTTTAGGTGCCAAGCCATCTCACTGGTCTGGGCTTGGCTTGAGACAGGATATTGCTGTGTTGCCCAGTCTGGCTGGGATCTTTGATTCGGCCTCCTCAATGCTGGAAACAAAAGCGTGAGCACTGTGCCTGGCCCCATCTTCTGCTGTGACACTCTCAGAGACAGACTCTGCAGCCACTCCACGATCCTAGGCCCTGCTCTTGGGGCCCTTCTGCCCTGTATGGATTGGTGTTCTGTAGCCCTCTATCTGCCATGGACCACCTACTGCTTTGAGGATATTGTCAAATGTCTACATCAGATCAAAGCAGGTAACAGGGGATGGGTCACACCTATTAAGGACTAATACTTAGCCCCCCCCCCCAGGGTTGAGAGGATAGTAGTATGTGCACTGAGGCTACCCTGAACTTCTGCTTAGGAGCCCCCCTTCCTCCAGAGAAGAGAGAATGACTTGTCCACCTGGCCTCGGCTACCTGGCACTGCCTTCCCATGACTTCCACCACCACAGAAGATTCTTGCCTAGCCAAGCCAACCACCATCTTGCCCCTACCCCACCCCCAAGGGAAAGCAGTGCCCTGTGCAGTCACCCTCAGACTCCACCCTGTCCTCACTGAGGTCAGCAGCCTCATGAATGGCACCACTCCTCCTTAGCACTGTTTCACAACGGCCACTGCTACCATCTGGGGCCGGGTGGGGGTGGGGGTAGGGGTAGACACGGACAGACTAAATCTTCCTGTGGGAGAGCTGGTCTTTGCTCTGTCCTGTCACCTGCACAGCTCCTGCCACAGCAGCTCTGGGGCAGCTCTTGCTGATGCTGAGGGCCCAGCCTGCAGCCTTCTCCCATTGGTACTAGGCACTGTGGCTTCAACCCCGAATACCCCCAAGCTAGTCTCAGCCTCTCTCCTCACACTGGCTGCAGGCCTTCTGCAGCACCCTCTGGTTACAGCCTTCAGATGAACCCGATCCTCTGTCTAAAAGCTCCTTTACTCCTTAAAACTCAGCCAGCTGGCCATGGCCTTGACCACTGAGAGGATGTTTGTACTTGGCGTCTCCATGACACATGCAGCATTCCTCAAGGGCTAATGCAGCATCATCGAGAAGGGAGAATGCAGATTGCCTAGTGTAGGGGAAACCATAACCACGCCCGCTAGGGGCTGGCTACAGGTGTGCCTGACCATGCCTGCTTCGGGCGTGGTCAGGGTGATGTAGGGAAGGTTTAAGAGTGAGGGGCGTGCATGTGGAAGGCCCCTTCTTCCGTTTCCTCTTCTGCTTGCTGTACTTACTGCTGCCCCGCTGGCTGGCTAGGTCGCTCTGTAAGTAAAGCTTTTCCTTAATAAATTCCCTTGTATTTTTACCTGGCTCCGTATTGGTAATTCCCACAATAGCCTAGTGACAAAATGACTTCAAAGGAGAACAGTTGGCTCCCTCCCCCCACTTCCTGCAGAGGTCATGGACCTGTTCCTGAGCATCTAATCATGTTTCCCTTTGAATTATCTGTGATGTCACATGCACAAACACACATGCCAACAGCACAAAGCTTAATGCCAGGAGCTTTCTATCCTGTTACCACCTAAGCCCGACCTGTGCCATGGAATGTGAACTATATCTGGCTCATGTGGAAGTTACTTCCAGTTTTCCAAGATAACCCCAAATACCACTGCTGTCTTCCCGTGTCTCAAGGTGCCATGGGTGCCATGCTGGTTTACAGCTGCTGTGTGGTGTGCATGTCACATTGGGGCAATTTGAGCAGTCCTGGGTCCTTACCCCACACAACACTGGCATGACTATTGGGGATGACATTACCCTGGCCTTGCCCAGCTACTTGGCAGGGATCACAGGCAACAACCACCATGTGATCACAGGCAACAACCACCATGTGCTAGGGGCACGGGACCACAACACACTGTCTTGCACTTACTGTTTTTCTTTCTGAAGTTTTTCCTTTTCCTAAATTTCATGTTGATTTTGGGCCATGATTCTGTCTTTTCAATGACTGTGGCTTCAACACGTACAAGATCCTTTCTAGAAAAAAGGAAAAGAAACTTTGACAACTTGACAGTGCACTGACAATGTACCTCTCCTTGATTGCTTCCAGCTTTATTCACACCCTGGTGAAGTCCCCAGAGAAGTCCTGGTTTTGCAATGGGGTCTAACGTTGCCCAGACTGACTTTGAACTCCCTTTATATGCAAGGAGCAACTCTGTCCTTCTGATCCTCCTGCCTCTGTTTCCTGTGTAGGACAACAGACATATGCCACACATCTGGTTTATTAACTGTAAACATTAAAGCATAATGAAGAGTATTTAAAAAAAAAATCTTTTAGTCAGGTATGGCCTCCTAGTGCTTGGGAGTCAGAGGCAGGAGGATGGCCATAAATTCAAGGTCAGTCTAGTATACATTGTGAGTTTCAGTCTAATGGGTGCTACACAGTTAAACTTTCTCAAAAAGACAACAAAGAAAACTTTATTTTTTTAAATTTTGTTTGCAATGTTGAGATAAAAACCCAGGGCCTCAAGCTTAACAGGTGGCACTCTATCCCTGAGCCAAACCACCAGCCTTAAGATGATCTGAAAGGCTACACTGGCTGCTGTCTATGGTGGCACAGGCTTTTAATGCCAACACCTAGGAGGCAGAGGCAGATGGAACTCCGTGAGTTCAAGACCAGCCTGGTCTACCTAGTGAGTTCCAGGACAGCCAGGGCTATTACACAAGAGTGACCCTGTCTTGAAAGACCAAAATATAATAAAAGAAAGGCTGCACTGTAGTGGATTAGTGATTGACCAGCCACCTCACTGGATGTTCCATGGACAGCAAACACCCTCCAGAATGGTACAGGAAGGTGTTACGTTTAGCTCTCACGGTGATGTGTGATAGTCCCCAATGGGCCCGACCACACCATGTCCCGTCTGTGCATCAGCACAGGCCCTGCTCCAAGCCCAGTGTTAAGCAGCTCATTACCCGAGGAGTGGCTTGCCCAGAAGTGTGAAGTTGTCTGCCCCGACCAGCAGGACCTGAGAGGATAAAATGTAGCATATTTAATCCCTGGCTCCTCACCAAGGTCACAGAAACCATTGGGAGCAGGGAGTGGGTGATGCTCACATGCTGAAACTAACTGCACAGGAAACTGAAAACACAGAAAGGCCCAGGGCCCACAGGGGAGGGAGATAAGTGACCTCTGCAAGCTGTTCTCTGACCCCCACCACCCACTGGAGAGGTAGATGCTGGAGGATCAGGAGTAGTTAGGTCTGTCTACACAGCAAATTTGAGGCTAGCCTGAGATACAGGAGACCTTGTCTCAAATAAAAATAAAATGGTTAGAATAAGACTAACTCTCTGCTCTGGGTGCCATCATGTTGTCCTCACAGCAGCATCCTGCTGGAACCTCCCAGCCTCCCTGTACCAGCAGGTGCAACAAATCTCACTCTGAGCTCAAATGGTGTTTTTTTTTGTCAGTGATTGAAAATTCAATGGAGGCACAGTTCGGCCTTCTTGCCCTCCACCAGCCCCGTTTCCCTTTTGCTCTGCCCTGCACTGATCCTACTCCCCATCCAGTGTGGCTGGGATGAAAAAAAAATAAAAATCCTCTCAGTGATGCACATCTGGTGCCTAAGTCCCTGAGTTCACAAAATAACCTGCATTCACCTTCTCCAGCCGGATCCTCTCTCCACACTTGATGTCCAACTCATTTTCAATTAGAATCAGGTCCTCCGAGGTCACCTTCCATTGGTGGCTGGCAAAGTGCACTACAGCAAAGAGCCGGCCATACTGGCCTGTGGCAATCAGCTCATTCACCTTCCTCACAACCTCTGCAGGAAAGGACATGGCAATCACCCACTGGACAGGCAGCTGGCCATCTACTTGTGAGGGGTACTCCCTGCAGTCCATCCAGGCCTGTTTACCCACCGAATAGGTGGGTTAAGGTTAGGCTGGCAGGGAGTATCACTTCTGCAGTTCTGGGGCAGAACCCTCACCTTGTTTTGCTTTAAAAAAAAAAAACAAACAAAAAAACCAAGAACCAGTGGACAAACTGAGCAGGAATGGTACATGCCTATAATCCAGTATTTGGGAGGCTGGAGCAGGAGGATTGCAGTGAGTTTGAGTCTAGCCTGGGTTACACTCTAGGGTGAGTTGTATGCAGTCTGAGAAGTGAAAGACCAGTCCTGCAGCCTGAGGAGCCAGAATTCTATCTCTCTGAGCTGGAAGCCCCACCCCCACTCCTTCTCTGCTTCCCATCAACACTGCAGCAATGGCTCAAGTCACAGTACCCTAACCCTCAATTTTGCCCTGAATGGCACCCACTGAGCACTGAGCCCCACCCCTAGGCCAAGGGCTAGACACAGAGGACATGACAATTCCTGCCCTAGAGACAGATCGAGGCCAGAAGCAGCTCCTGGGATCACTGATAAGGCTCGATGAGGAAGAACCTTCAGTGTCCTTAGGGTCAACATCCACAGAATTGGCTAAGCACAAAATCGAAAATATTCAGAAAACAACAAAAATCAAAACAAAACTTGTGCATGCACCAAACACACACAGACCTCTCCTGTGGTGGTACCCTGAACAGTGTAGTGGAGTGAGCACATAGCTCAGCGACAGATGTGCCCTAGAGAGGACAGGTAGGGCCTGTACAGGCTATACACAAACACTTTGCTGTTCCACATCAGGGCGTGATATTCAAGGATTCTGATAATGGTGGGAGTCCTCCCACCAAGCCCACAGACCCCTAGGTAGGACTATATTTATCTTGAACAGCATCTTAAACCGTATTTTAAATGCCAGAAGATTGACCACAACAATGGGAACTTCGAACTCTGGGAAACTCAAATATGAATCTATGGCTGGCACAGCTGTGCTGCCTTTCCTGGCACTTAGCTCAGGCTGGACATGAACTTGTGATTCTGAGTGCTGGGATGCCAGGTGTATACTGACATATGATATAGCTGGAGATACAGGTGCACCTCCCCACCTCCATCACCTGGCTGCTTTGTGGCAGATGCTGGAGGGCTGTTTACCAAGGGACGGTACACCTTAAATGCTGGGCTTACATGTGCTGTTGTTCAGAGCATTCAGAAACCCGGCACCTTGCTCCATGGCAATGATTACCTCAATGGCTCATGAGCGTGGACACTAGGTGCTATCCGTACATTTCCCTTTTTGTTTTGGTTTTTGAGATTGAGTCTAGGCTGGACCCAAACTCTCAGTAATCCTTCTGCCTGGGCCTCCCAAATGCTAGGGCTACAAAGGCCACCCTGCCTGGCCCCTGCAAAGTCTTACCTGTGTGATGTCTGGTCTCTTCAACAGGGTCTGGCAGAACCACTTCTTCCCAGGGTGGTGAGCTCAGGGAGGTCTTAGGAACGTATCTGTAAAAGCCATTTCATAAACTCATATCACATGCACACGAAAGACAGTTTCAAGTGCTGAAGGAATAGTTGTGTGATGTCAGAGGGTATGAGTGCACAAGCTTGTTATGGAGAGATATGAGACTCACAACACTAATGCTGGCTCTAGATGGCTATCATAGGAGTTCCAACCTTTCTGTCTCCAGGGGCATGTGCAGACTTCAGACCCAAGCCTTGCCTGCCTACGCCATTAACAAGCACACAGGATGACTCTGCACACATCTGCAAAGAATGGACACTCTCCCTCATTCCCTTCTTAGTCTCTAGGAACATGAATTCCATGTTCTGTGGCCAGGCAGTGACCTTGAGGGAGCAGGAGTAGCTAGAAGGATCTGTTCTCTGAATCTCTGTTGTGAGTGACGTTAGGTTCAGTGACTGTGCAGGATGGAGTCAAATGAAGAACACGGAAAGAGGGAGCTGGGAAAATGGAGTCTGGCAGGAGGGCTGAGCAAGTCATGGCAGAATTGGAAGAACAGGCCACTCAGTGAAATGGCACTTGAGGGTTCTTCATGTTTTCAGACTCTGTTTTATAATTTGTCCTTTTGAGTCTCAAAGAGGTTTATGCTGCTGAGAATATCCACCCAGCAGATTTACGTACAGTTTTTGGCCAAACCTATATGTCAGATGCTGTTCTGGAGATATGTGTGTATGTAACTTATACATGCATGCATTATTTCTGTTCGGGACAGAATTGTACTACTATGTATGTATGTATACACATTTGTTCTGGAGGAGGAACCCAAGGCCTCAAGTATGTTGGGCAAACATGCTATCACTGAGCTATAGCCCCATACAACCTCATCAAAATGTGGAGAATTTTTTGTTAATTGTTTTGTTTTAAAGACAGGGTCTCTATTATGTAGCTCTGGCTGTTCTGGAACTTGCTATGTAGATCAGGTTGGCCTCAAACTCACAGAGATCCATCTGCCTCTACTTCCCAAGTACTGAGATTAAAGGCTGGTGCCACCAAGTCTGCCATCATACTCAGCTTCTAATTTAGAGAAGTATTTTGTTTTTTGTTTGTTTGTTTGTTTTTCACGGGGCTTCTCTGTGTAGCCTTGGTTGTCCTAGAATTTGCTTTGTAGACCAGGCTGGCCTCGAACTCAAGCTGCCTGCCTCTGCCTTCTAAGTGCTGAGATTAAAGCTGTGTGCCACCACCACCCAGCTTGAGAAGTCTGAACTTGGAAGTAACATTTCTATAGACAATGGAAAAAATCACCAAACCAATATATTGGTATCATTACCCTTGTGGATACGAAGTGCTCTGTGAATTGAATCTTTGAGAAGCAGACCGGAGGGCGGCTGTAGGAACAAGAGAAACATGGTGGGTAGTTACTGTGATGAAATGCACAGATCTGTTGCTGGTGTCTGGTTTAACCTACTGTATCACAATCTGCCTCTAAAAAAGTTCAGGTGAGAACTGGTCATGGCTCAGTGGGTAAAGTGCCTGCTACACAGTGTGAAAACCTGAGTTCAGATCACCAGCGTTAAAATAAAAACCCAGGCACAGCAACACCCATTTGTTACTCCAGTACTGTGAGTAGAGACAAAGGGATCTCAGGGGCTTGTTGACTAGCTAATCTAACCAAAAGGGCCAGATCCAAGTTTAGTGAGAAACCTTTAGAAATAAGGTGGGGAGGAGCTAGAGGGATGGTCAGTGGTTAAGCACTCTCATAGAGGGTGAAGTTTGGTTCCTAGCACCTGCATGACAGCTTACAACTGCCTGTAACTCCAGTTCCGGGGATCTGTGATAAACCAGCCTGACTCCATCTTAGGTGTGAAAGCTAGCTTATAGTAAAGACAAACTAGGTTCAGTCATATTTACGATTAAATTTGTTTTTCACGGATCGGGCTATGCCCCACTAATAACCTTAACTACAAATGGTTCTGTACTGCCTGTTCCAGGAAATGGCAATCATGGCTCTATTTCAAAAAAGGTTATTATGACCCCCTGTTGTTAGACCACCTTGTTATAACCGACTACCTTGTTATGACTACCTTGCAATCATGTCTTTGTTTCAGAAGGTTATTATAGCCAACTCTTTATGCTTATGTTTTGTTTCTGTAACCCAACCTATTTTCCTGCCTATACCTCCATTTGTAAACTCCCTACTCCTGAACTATACAAACCCTTATCTCACCCATGTCCAATGCTGACCTCTTGAACCCAGTCTTAGGGGGAAGCAGCTGTGTACATGAATTTTTTTTTTTAAAAAAGCTTGCTTTAATTAATTTGTCCCTGATGATTTGGGTTGGTGGTTATTCTCCTCAAATCTATGGGATTAATATCTGATCCCCTCTTGGGGACACCAAAAGCACCTTCACTAAAATGCACATATAAGACACCCCCCACACACAAATGAATATCAAAATAACTCTTTTAAAAGGAAGGAAGGAAGAAAGAAAAAGAAAAGGTAAAGACAAGCAGTGTTCACCTGACACCGTCATCTAGTCTGCACACAGGCAAGTGCACCCACTTGCACACCTTCGCACAACACATACTCAAACCAAAAAGTCCGGCCAACAAAACTAAAGACACATCACTCAGTTACTAGTTATGTTTCAAGATGGTTCATCCCATGGTCTACGACCCTAACATCAAAACCACTCACTCCTTCCTTCAACGTCATTTTTCAGATCCGAGGGTGGCTAGCAGCCCGAGGTCAAATGTTCACGGTCGGGCGTTGAAACCCTCCCTATATAGCGGCTTCTGAATCGCTTCTCTCTTAAGTCCCCTCTGCATGGCTCTGAGTGGTATTTCTCTGAGCCTGTTTGCGCCTTTTTAATATAGGACCTACACTGAAGTTTAAGGGTGCTTGAAGGAACCGCGTTCTCATCCCAGGTTCTCGTAACGCAAATCCCGTGCAATATTTACGACGCACGCAACCAACACACCAGGCACCAAGGCGACACACGTGCGGCACACGGCAAGCGCACCGTTTCGCTCCTGTTTCCTCCCTCCCCAGGACTCCCTGGTCTCACCAGCTCCGGGTCCCGACGGTGCCAGGATGCTGCGGCTACATACAGACACCAGCCGCCCGAAAGCGCCTGGCAACGCCGAGGCCGCTATGGACGCCGCCATTTTCCTACAGTCACAACCGGAAGCGGAAGCTGCGCAAACCTCGTGCGTTGACTCATTATCCCGATAGGGAACACCTGGAAGAAGGGAACGGAGGTCCTACTAGAATCGGTGGGTTAAGTAGTGACCATAGGAAACGAGTCCGTCAGGATTTACTGCCCTGACGGGGAGTCCCTTGGGGACACTGGCTCGGTGGGGACATGGTCCGACGGGAACACGGGTCCCACAGGACTAACTGACCGAGCAGGAAGCTCCAGTCAGGGGCTTGCACCCCGGGGGAGATGGCCTCGTCCACCGTGGAGAGCTTCGTGGCCCAGCAGCTACAGCTGCTGGAGCTGGAGCGGGACGCCGAAGTGGAGGAGCGCAGGTAAGTGAGTCCGCAAGTCCCCGAGCCTCTGCAGCTGTCCTTCATAGCCGGTCTGGTGTTGGCGGCGGGCCGGGTGGGGTCAGTCAGCCGGAGTCAGCCCTCGGCGGTGTCAGGGCCGCACGCATGTCATCCCAGGACTCGGGAAGTCGAGGCAGGAGGATCGGGAGTTCAAGATCATCTTTAGCTACATAGCCAATTTGAGGTCAGCCTGTGCTACAGGGGATCTTTTGCCACTATATTTACCCGCTCCCCAGAGAGAAACCCGGGAGGAGGGTGTTCCTGAGATCAGCCTCCTAGAGGCACCATGTTATTATGGTGCCTAAAGAGGCGGCTTGTTTCTGGAGACTGTCTACTGGCCTGCAACAGGCAGAGCCTGCGCTTCTTTACCCTACAGTGCCATCCCTGCAATGCATTTCCCTGAGGTAAGACAAAGGCTGGCGAAGTAACTGGTCAAGGGTAACCCACGTGGAGGCAGGACTTGAAGCTAGGCTGTTCGATTACAGATGCGACCATTGGTTTGTTGAGAGTCAGCCAGTCAGAATGAGTAAGAGTTTTTGCTGCCCCGGCTGTGGGACTGTGGAATTGTATACCAGAGTTTCCCTTACTTCATGTGTAAAGACATGCGATTCTCACACCACTTACTGTAAGAGTGAAGTGATCTACTGCAAGTCAAGCTAGACCTTGAACTACAGCGAGGGGTGTTGGGAGTAAGAGGCAGAGAGTAAGTAAGGTATAAATGGGAGGCCCCCCAGGACTTGGTGAAAGATGGAGTAGATGAGTGGGAAGACTGCTTTGGCAGACCTGGAGCAGATCAGGCAGTGCCAGTACTGGGAGCTGTGGGAGGGCAAGGGTTGGAGTGGAGCAGATTCCAGTTTCCTCTAGGGCATATTTGGTTGCCTATAAGCAGAATCTTTCTTCGATTACTTTTCCTGCATGGGTGGAAATAGGAAAGGGTATGGGCACAAACAGTGAAACTGCTATCCTGGGTGTCTTCCAGGTCCTGGCAGGAACACAGTTCTCTGAAAGAGCTCCAGAGCCGAGGGGTGTGTTTGCTGAAGCTTCAGGTATCCAGCCAGTGCACCGGGCTGTATGGACAGCGGTTGGTCACCTTTGAACCCAGGAAATTCGGGCCTGTGGTGGTGCTTCCCAGCAACAGCTTCACTTCTGGTAGGTGTCTGGTCTAGGCTTGTATTGGCTATTCCTGATATTCAGATTAAGGCTTGTGTTCTCCCAAAGGCTGGAGGACAGACCCAGATGGAGTATGAAGCAATGAAAGCTTCCTATTTAGAAATCTCATGCCGGGCGTTGGTGGCGCACGCCTTTTATCCCAGCACTCGGGAAGCAGAGGCAGGCAGATCTCTGTGAGTTCGAGGCCAGCTACACAGAGAAACCCTGTCTCGAAAAAAAAAAAACAAACCAAAAAACAAAAAAACAAAACCAAAAACAACAACAACAACAAAAAGCCTTACAATTATCATGGTTGGTTTTGTTGTTTTGAGACAGGGTCTGAAGTTTACTGTATAGCTGAGGATGACTTTGAACTTTGAACTCCTGATCTTCTGGCCACCTCCTCCCAGGTGCTGGGATTACAGACCTACTCCATCATGGCTGATATTTTGTTGGCTTTTAGAGCCAGGAATGTGACTCACTGTGTAGCCCTGGTCCATCTGGAAGTTTCTGTGTAGACCAGGTTGTACTAGAAGTTGCAGTGAGCTTTCTATCTCTGTCTACTGAGTTCTGGAATTGCAAGTATGCACTACCTGTTTGGCTGGTAATACACTACTTTTTGGTTGCCCAGGTGGGCAGCTTTATCTTTACAGTGCCTGGGATGGAGCCCAAGGCCTCTGGCATGCTGAGCAAGTACCCTGCCATTGCACTGCACCTTGGAGCTTTTTGACCACACACCAAGGATGCTAAGTTGGCCTTAGCCCTGAAAAAAGAGCTGGCAGTGCTGCCTGGTTTTTATTTTTGTTTTGTTTTTAATGTGCACTGGTGTTTTGCCTGCATGTATGTCTGTGTGAGGATGTCGGATCCCCAGGAGCTGGAGTTACAGATACAGACAGTTTTGAGCTGCCATGTGGGTGCTGGCAATTGAACCCAGGTACTCTGTAAGAGCAGTCAGTGCTCTTAACCACTGAGTCATCTCTCCCGCCCTGTGCTGTCCTGTTTTGAATGGCAGCTTTTGACTTCATAGCCTCTTGTCTCAAGAGTTTTCAGTTCCCCTGAGGGTTTGAAGGAGGTTAGATGACGGGGGTGGGAAGGTAGTGAAGGAACGGCGGGTGTGAGACCAAGCAGAACTTGAGATCTTGACTTTGTTAAGGGAGCTACATTCAGCCTGCTCATCGGAAGATGGGAGCAAGAGTGTCTGCCACTGTCAGGCATGAGGGAGCAGCACAGAGCTTGTGCATTGTGCTCTCTGAAGCTGTGTGGAGTACTGGCATGATGGGTGGTGGTAACAGAATTGGGCTTCTGTGTGGAACACCAGCAAGTTGGAATGGTGGTGTGGGGGCACTGCTGTTGACCAAATTCAGGGGATGTGGCTATTGTACAGCTTCTGAGGGGCAGTCTCAAGTCTCAGTCACTCGAAGTAACAATCTTGAGATGAGGGGTCCTACACAGGAGCATCCTTGTCATATCTTGTTTGTCTTTCTCAAGTCAGGGAGGAGACCAGTAAGATTCAAGGCACAGGCAAAACTCACACATGAGTGAGGCTCCAGAGAGAAAGGTGCTTGAATCCTGTCCCCTGAATCCACATGGTAGATCCATAAATACTGTAATATTTAGCTGGGCTTGTTTTCGTAGGTGATATTGTGGGTCTGTATGATGCTAATGAAAGCAGCCAGCTGGCCACTGGGGTCCTGACCCGCATCACCCAAAAGTCAGTCACAGTGGCCTTTGATGAGTCCCACGATTTCCAGCTGAACCTGGACCGAGAGAATACGTACAGACTGCTGAAGCTCGCCAACGATGTAACCTACAAGCGGCTGAAAAAGTGAGTGTTCCAGGGTGAAAATCGGAGGGGTGTTTTCCTTGACTGAAACTCATGGATGACCTTATTTGTGTTGAGGGAGGGAGTGTCCTGTCTGCTGGGTGCTTTCAGGTGATGGTGTCCCTGAACTGCTGTCCCAAAGAGCTCCTCATTTTGGCTCTGGTTCCTCACAGAGCGCTGATGACACTGAAGAAGTACCACTGTGGGCCAGCATCCTCACTCATAGACGTCCTTTTGGGTGGCTCCACCCCAAGTCCCACCACTGAAATACGTGAGGATTTTTTAATTTCTTTTTTAAGATTAATTTTTATTTGTGTGTGTGTGTGTGTGTGTATACATGCACAAGTGCAGTGCTTGGGGAGGTCAGAAGGGCATTGGATCAGCTGGAGCTGGAGTTGGGGGTGGTTCTGGGAACCAGCCATGGGTCCTTTGCCACATCGGTGCATGCTTTTAACCACTGGGACATCTCTCCAGCCCCAACTTTTATATTTCTTACCTGAAATTATGTAGGACAGTGTGACCGTGTGCTGTCTTAGCAAGAGTTTACATTGGGTTTGAAATTTCTGCCTTGATATCTTTGGATGTGTTTCTCTGAGTGACTTACAGACTCTAGGCCATCTTCCCTGGACTCAGTACTGAAGAAGTTCTCACTGCAGAACTTGCTGCATAACTGAGACTGGCCTTCAACTTGTGATCTTCCTGCCTCTACCTCCCACGTGCTTGGGAAATGGGAGTGCCCCAACACACTGTGTGTTATATATGTGTATGCGTTTTGTGAATATGCATATGTGTCTGTGTACCTAGGTGTTATGGCCTGAGGTTGCTATCATGTGTCTTCCTCAGTCTCTTTCTGCCCTGTTTTTTCTCTATTTATTATTGTGTGTCAAGTGTGCATGCAGAGATTAGATAATAGCTGTATGAGATGGTTCTCTCCTTCCTGCTTTACATGGTCCTAGAGATTGAGCACACGTTATCAACTTATGTGATGGTGCCTTTACTCACTGCACTGTCTCGCTGACGACAGCTTATGTTTGAGTTTTTGAGGGAGGTCTCTTGCTGAACCTGGAGCTTACCGACTAGCTAGGCTGACTGGCCAGTGAGTCCCAGGGATCTACCTGTCTCTATTTCCTGGTGCTGGGACTATAGATGTGCTTCACTGTGCCCAGCTTTTACATGGTGTTGGAGACCTGAACACAGGTTTCATGCCTGTGTGGCAAAGCACTTTGCCTACTGAGCAATCTCCCCAGCCCCCACCACAGTTTTAAAATGAATATATATATATATATATATATATATATATATATATATATATATATATTCATTCTTGTGTGGCCCAGGCTGGTCTTACTCTCACACTCTATGGCCAAGAGTGATCTTGAACTCCTGACATGATTCCCTCTCCTGAGTGCCACCATACCCACCTCAAAAATATATTAGCTGCCTTTAAAGACTGCTGTGTGCCGATTGTAGCTGCTATCTAATTAACAAGAATTAGATAGAATGTAGAATGTGCCAGAAACTTGGGATTTGATAGTGTGTGCTTTGACCCTCATCCTGCTTTTCTGATGGTTTACAGACTTGTTGTCTCTCACAGGTCCAGCTCAGCAGCACCCTTTTCCTAAGAGCTTGGTGCACTCATCTGTTGGGTGTCTCTGGTGGACACTGGGACGGAGCTGAGCACAAGAGGCCATTTGGGCCAGAGTG